TAGGATTCTTACTTTTCTTTGTTATAAAATATTATGTACCGTTAATTTTTTCTAGAGCTCATTAAAAATAAGAAAAAAAAACCATGCTCTCAGTTTTGGTGTTATTATTCGAATGGAAAATAAGATAGAAAGAAACCAAAAACATGTAAATAACCTAAACAATGTCTTATGTGTGTAAAAACAACTGTTAGCTCTATTAGACATATTGTAACTGCAAAACGGTGAAAGCTAATTTTGTGCTTTTGCGACGTTAATATCTCCTGCTGGAAATTGTCAATCCCCAACAACTGTTGTTCTACTGATCGAGCTCTATCTACATTAAAACTCTCATGAGCCGTTCTTTTAAAAGTACCAAAAAAGGCGGATGGAACTGTTATAAAACATGTTGCGTTCAAAATTTTCGTACTCGACAGATTCTTGTCTCTAAAAACTGTTGGAGTTTAATCAAAAGTAAAAGGTCTACTATGGATTGAAGTCTGTCTATGAAAACATTGGTTCTTTTTTTTTTGATTATTAGTGAAATTGACTAATTTTAAATAAGATAAAATTAAAAAAACTTGATTCATACATGCATAAGGTGAGTTTCTTTTGTAGCTAATTCATTTTCTAATCGACTATTAAATTCAGTTAAATGTGTTGTTTCTTTTTGTATACTTAAATAACGTTTTTCTAATGTTGATATTCGTTCTTCTTGATCTTCTTTTTGTGCTTGAGATTCTTTTAAATCACGTTGATATTTATTTATTTGTTCATGTGCATGAGATAAATCACGTTGAAATAAGCATGCACGTTCTTCTAATTCTTTATTACGATTCATTAATTCATGTACACGTGCACGACAAGATATTAATTCATTACATTGATTATCCATTAATTCTTGCATTTCAATTAGTTTACCAGTTAAAGAATCAGGATCAATAGTACCATTTGACATTGTCTAAGAGAATAAAAAAAAAAGAAGACTTCTAAAATGAAAAGAAGATTTTTCTTTTTTTGGAATTTATTTACTTTTAATTGATTAACATCGATCACTTTAGCTTGTTGTGTTTCACGAACACCGGCTAACTAAAATAAAAAATAAAAAATAAAAACCAAATAGAATTAACATTTTCATGTCTCGAAATTATTATTTCATATATGTAATTTTTAAAACAAAAAAGAAATTACTTCCATAAGTTTTTATCTATTAATTGATTTCCTATGTCAAAAAGTTAAAAAGTAAAACAAAAGAATACTTTAAACACTACTTACATGCCATAACTAAATTAAGGAAGAATACGCCTCCCTTTTAACAATCTTACGGTAGATTCAATAGGTCAATACCTTTCGTACGACTATGACCAGCTATCGTTCTGGACAGAAGGTCAGTCTGACACAGAATTCTTGAGAACAATGTAGCCACTCACGAGAGAACTAACAAAGCTGGTACCTGCCGTTTGAGCTCATGATGAGAAGATTAGAAAAATCCTAAAAGAGTTCACACCCCTAAACCTGAGTTATGGCCGTTTTATTGAGTTTTCGATCCGGCTTAAGGTATATATCGAAAAATCAAATAACGATATTATTTCTTTGTCAAGGTATTGAATTTTCAAATAAAAGGTCGAAAAATTACTAAAACGGTCATAGTTCACCTTCTGAGGTCGATGGGACGAACCCTTCTAGGAGTATTTTAGTCTTTTTCTTGTGAACTCAATATGAGCTTAAGAGACGAACATCAGATCGAACCGTTTTCTCATTAGTCATGGTGGCTGACATAGTCTAGATTGTTTTTGGATTATATTAAAATAGTAAAAACAATAACAGAAAAAAAAAATCTACTTACTTCATTCTTAGTTCGTTCAAGTTCATCTTTGAGTTGTGTATTTTTTTCAATTTCAACTTTAAGACGTTCACGAACCTTTATAAATTAAAAAAAAATTTTATTTTAAATCTGTTTTTTCTTTTCTTCTCTTTCATTAATATTTTAATACTTTTTCATCTAATGCCTTATGATGTTCAAATAACGATTTAAGTGCTTTAAGTACTTCAACTTCAGATGAAACACCTTGAGCTTGTCTTCGCATAACTGTTGTTCGAATCGATCGTTCATGTCGAGCAACAAGTTGTTCCAAATGTTCAAGAAGTAACTAAAATTTAAAAAAAAAGGATTTAAATTATTTCAAAAAAAAAAACAATTATTTTGACTTACTCGTGTATTATTACGTTCAGCTTTAAGTTCAGTAACTTCATCTTCTTTTTCTGTTAATTGTTCACGTAATTGAGCAAGTTCACGAACAAGTGAAACATAATCCTAAGGAAAAGAAGAAAAAAAAGATTTTTTTTTTTAAATATTTCTCATTATTTTTGTTATTATTATTATGATTATTATTATTTTGTCAATAAATAAATAATTTTAAAACCTTATTCGTTGTTAATTCAAGAGAAGAAGAAGAATTATGAGATGGAGATGAATGATGATTTGTTAATGTTGAATTTAACCATGGTAAAGGACGTTTATATTTTTGTTGATTATTATTTGATATATTTTCATAAGTAGTTTGTTGTTCAAGATGATTTAAAATATCAAATGATTGTGAAAGTGATGTAAATGTTTTTGATATTGATTTGTTAGATTTTTTCATCATTTTAGGCCATGAATTATGATATATTGATTTATTATCATTTGTTAAATCAATATCATCAATATCATCGGAGACAATAGCACTATCACTACTATCAGAACTTGTCATTGTTGTTGGACTTATTGCCATTAATTGATCATCATCATCATCATCACCATCATCATCATCATCATCATCATGATCATGATTGTCGTTGTCATTGTCATTATTGGTATTATTTAAAAACATTTTAAATGATATATTATTTGTTAAATAACCATAGAGATTGATAGTAGAACTCATTTTACGTAGATGATGCGATGGATCGTCAAAGAGAAATGAACTTGATTCACAATCGATGTTCACCATGATTTATTAGTTTTTTATTTATATATATATATATATGTGTGTGTGTATGTGTGCGTTGGTTCTTCAGGTTTGCTCAAACATACATTTTATACATGAATGTAAGTGTATGTGTGTGTGTGCTCGTTTGTCGGTAGAGTTAAATAATCAACGAATTTGTCGTCGTTGTCGGTTCTCGCTTCTTTTTCCGCTCGGATCGTCTCTCTCTCTCTCTCTCCATCGTTCTCTCTTCTCTATTTATCTATTCGCTTCCTTTTTTCCTCTCTCTCTCTCTCCTTCCAGGTTACGTTTACTACTTAGAAGAATAAATAGAACTAAAAAATTATTATCAAGATGAATTATTTGCTAAAGTGGTTCAATCATTACGGTTACATGCAACCAAATGATAGTATTGTCTTCAATAATCAATCTTTATCATCCATATGACCTTGCATTAAACGGTTGGTTTGCCAACAGTACGTGTGTATATACATATATATATATAAATATATAGGCATGCGAACTTGATGTTGCTCTCGGGGAATAAGAATGAAGGTCGATATCATACCAATAGTCTAGAGATGAAAGCAAGCAACCGATGCCACTTAGTATTGTCGTCAATTGAAACTGGTAAAAGAGTAATAAATAAGCAAACGACACATACACATACAAAAAAATAAAATACATCGGAAAGAATAATAGATGGGTTTGTTTATTATTGAAATGCCTATTGTCATCACACTAGCATTACTACGAAGTCTTGACAGAGTAGGAAATGTGTAGATTCCCTCTTCTAATTATTGAAAAATGCTTTATTATTATTATTATTCTTCAACAAAATAACAAAAAATTCTTTTGAAATTTTACATTATTTCTATGAAATATTTTCTTAATATATCCTATGACATTTAGTCCATTAGGAAAATCTTCGTAGAAAACCTGATCAATAATACTATGGCTATTACTTTACTAATATACATCTAATGATGAAAACAGTATGTCAATCGACAGTATGACATCAATCATAGATCTTATTTTGTTTATCTAAATAGAATAACATTCATTTTTGTGGCATGATGCTGTCTAATTGTTTGTTTATTTGTTACTAGTAAATGAAAATATTGAATAAAAAGGTTTCTTTTTCTTTCTTTTTGTATTTTTTTAATCTTATCATCAATCGCGCATAAAGTATCATATTTCATACACTATATTAAATTACATTAGACTCTCCGTTTTTTTTTTTTTTTTTTTTTTTTTTGTGTCAATTTCTATTCAAAACTTTTCGATATACTATTCTAACAAACAATCAATGATGATGAATAGAATATAGAGCAACGAGATTGATTGAGAACAAGAGAACAAAAAAAGAAAAAAGAAAAGAAAATGAACGATCTAATCACTAGTGTTTGATCATCACGACAATGACTGTGAAATTTGTGATCACATACATATTCTCTTAATGCACAAGCAACAATCTCCTATCTCAAATAGTATTTCGAGGGTCATTTTTTGACATACGAATGATTGGTAGCAAAAAGAAAAAAAAAGTGTTAATCACAAACAACATGGCCTTTATCTTGAGTAAACGACTTTTTGATCATATCAGGTATGTGTGTATGTATGTACGTATGTACATATATATAAATGTGATTTTATAAAAAAAAAAAAATGTTACGAATAAATAAAAAAGCAAAAAATTGCTTATCATCAAGTACATCAACGTTTATCACTAATTGAGATAAGTAGACAACTATTAATGATAACATGATCATAAGTAAAGATATAAGTATAAACGAATAAGTTAAATGAAAATTCGATTTGCTAAAACATAAATTATTACAAAGAAACGACCTTCTCTTAGTTGTCATGGAAATCATTCGTACATAGTTATCGATCTGTCATCAAATAATGACAGGTTTTTTTTTAGCAATTGTTAAGCTTTTATGTTGATTGATTTGCACATATGATTGATGTCAATCAATATATTCACGTGATTTGTGAATATAATAAAGTTGGAATTCTTTCTTTTTTTTATCTTTCTTTTCAATGATGACTTTATAACTTACAAAAAAAACGAAAAAAAAAAATTAACAATTATATTATAAATACAAACCTGTGGAGCATTAAGTGATAATTGACGTAATAAAACATCACGTTCTTTTTCAATATCACCTAATTTTTGTTGTGATGTATTTAATGTTTCTTCTGTTTCACGTAATTTTTCTTGTAACTATATTATAAAAAAAAAACACATTTCTATACAAATTTCTTTTTGTTTTTTTTAATTATAATATTACTTTATCACGTTCTTCAAGCATTGATACCATTAACTGTTCAATATTTGCTTCAGCTTCTTCACCATTATCTGATCCAGTACCTTCCAGATTGGTACCATTGCCACCACCATCTTCAGGTATAGGTGGCATAACATCACAAATCATATCGGCATACATGTGAAAGAAATGTACGGATCAATGGACAAGAAAACAAAAAACCAGAGATTTTCTATTAAATTACAAATATATTTATGCTACCTAAACAATAGAAAATAATGATAATAATAATAATAATAATTCAATTATAGAATTAACCATTGACTTACATTGTCAAATAAAATATATCTGTTGATAGAAAATTGAAGACGATCATGATTATGATTAGGAAACAGAAGAAGAAAATTATCTGAAATACAAAAGATAAATGAACAAAGAATATCCTGAAATCAATATTGGACATCTCATCCGGTTTTCTTTTTTTTGTTGCTGTCAATGATTAATGCTTAAAATCAAACAAATCTTAAGTTCATCTTATTCTGCTTTCGTCATTTTTTTTTTCTTCTCCTCTCAATTCTCAAAACGACACTCAAGTGGGCAACAATTACAATTCACTTCTGTTTTTTATACGTGTACAACAGAAAGTCTGTAGACGAAGAACGAGAGAAAAGAAAAAGAAGAAAACATAGCCCACGTTGCTACCATTTCACACTATCCATTATTGATTGATTGGCAATGGACGACGAGAATCATGAACGACTAGAGACGAAAATGAAGTAAACTTCTTTCTTTTATAATTACATCGGTATACAAATAATTTTTTCTTCTATATTTGTCTATATAAGATCAGTTTTCAATGTTATAAAGACAGACATCAACAACATTGATGAAGAAAATGGATACTGTGTGATGATGGTGTTAGCGGATAGTAAAAATGTGATTAAGATTTTTCTCTTCTTCTTCTTCTTCTTCGTCGTCTTCTTCATTCTATTATCCTTCTTTTTTTATATGCTGTTGTACTCACCAAAATCAGTAGAAAACAAAAGAAAAAAGGAAGAATAGATTCAGCTGTATATGTCTATGTTGTTGAGAAGACGAAGGAAAGGCGGAGAAAAAAAAACCTAAAGAACAAAAAAATAAGAAAATCCATCGTCTGTAGATGATGAACAAGAAGTAGCTCTTGTTGCTCTAATGTGAAAACGCCCTAGCCATGAAAAGAAAAGAAAAGGAAAAAAAAACCAGAACAACGACATATAGCAACGTTGACAATTACCAAGAAATGACAATGATGAAACAAGAGGGAGAAAAACGAGTCGAATTCAATACAAGAATATATATATATATATATATATACATAAAATGTGACATAATTAAAAATAAGTTATTATATTCATAATAAATAAAATTGTCTAATTATGATTAAATCGAACTACTTAGATATTATTAAAAGTTCAGATAATCATAAACATCTTTTTTTTCTTCTTCTTCTTTTCATCATCATAAGTAGTATCACGAGTACCATTAACATCGGGAAGCAATGTCATTATAAATATGTATGATACCAAGAGAAATATATCAACGAATAAGTCGACAAATCAATAGCAGATTATCAATGATCTATGATCTTTTTTTTTTTTTGCCTATCGAGGCACCACAACAGATAAATTGACAACAAGGAAAAAAAAACCTACAAATAACTAGAAATTATCTTTAAGATTGTCTACTATTTATCTATCATTATTTTTGATTAATCTTCGAAAATATTATATCAAATTATACATAACGTATCTCTATTACTAATAGAAAAAAAAAACATACGAAACGTTTAACTACCATCGATAAATCAACATACAAATGTGTCAGGACATTTTATACTCATGTACATATTTTTCACATTTTTCTTTCTTTATATGCTTGATAATAGGATAGACAATTATATGAAGTGATAAAGAAAAAAAAAAAAAAACAACAAAAAGAATGGATCTTTTATCATCAAAAAATATAAAACCTCGAAATAATAGAAAGATATTATTTTTCAATCAACGATCCATGTAAATACATACATAATCTTCATTCCAATGGACCAAATCAAAACAAAAAAATAATCAATGATATATATCATATTTGACGTTTGACTAGAAAAAAAATACAAATACCAGTTATTACTATTGATATTCCAAATGAATATTTTATAAATAATGAATGTTTAAACCAATTAAATTTTTCAATTTTATATAATGGATGATTTTTATAATCTTTAAGAATTTGTCGTTGACAATGTTCAGATTGAAATAAAAGATAAATTTGATTGAAATTTTTATTTATTTTATAATCCATTGAACAATATGAATTAAAACGTGATATTATATCTGATAAATCAATTTTATCTTTATTATATTTTTCAATAACAAGACATTGTTGTAATTTTTTATTTAAATATTGATTTTTATCATATCGATTTAAAGATATATATGTATTAAATATTGAATAAAAACGATTTTTATATATTTGTATATCATTTAAACATATATCAAATATTGATTGATATTCATTAAAATCAATTTTATGAAATTTTTTTTGTTTATATAAATAAATTAATTTAAGAAATACAATACCAGACATATATGCATCATAACCAGCTTCATGTTTCTTAAAGACAACAAAAAAAACAGTTAAAATTTAAAATGAAACAAAAGAATTTTACCCAAACTTGATTTTTATATCGATTAGTTGAATTTATTTCAATAATTGGTTTAAAAAATATTAAACTATCATAATATTTTGATGTTAATAAATCATATAATGATGATAATGATGTTGCTATTGTTAAATTTTCAATATAATTACTTATATTTGAACGATTTTGACGTGTAAATAAATATTCTTTCATTTCTAATGCAAGATATTTTGTATCAAATATTGGTGATAAAAAATTTTTATTCATTAATATTTGAAATTCTTCAAATTTTAATGGAAGATTATCAAGAAATTTATCATAAATAAGTAACCAATCAAGAAAACAATTATGTCCTTAAATAATAAAAAAATAAATCTTTTATTAATAAATATCTTTAAATAAATTTTTATATTTTCTTAATGATTTATAAAATTAGATATGTCGAATTTTTCTATATTTTATTTTATTTTTTTTCATTTGTAATCATTTCGAATTGATTTAAATTAATGAGTTTTTTGAACAAAAGAAGATCGGAAATAGATTTATCTAAACTATTATTTAATCAAATAGTTGAAGAGAAATTGTCAGGAAACAAATTTTATGTCATATCTCTAATGTCATATAAAGACTCATGTGATTTTTGATAAGAAAATCTTACTCATGAGAAAAATTCTCTTGCAGAGAAATTTCTTTTCAGTTGAGACTATATGTATTATATAGACCTAAATGAGATATGAGTACTTGGAAAAGAGCTCGTGATCTTAGTTTATTTGTTGCGAAGATAATGTACTTTTGCGTGCGTTCTTTTTTAAAAATTAATGTCGTAGTAACAGAAAAACTGATTTTCGAATTTTATATAAAGATAAGCTTTTACGAAAATAGATTTTTGTGAATATTTCAGATAAATTCTAACATCAGTTTTCTCTCTATTACCATGACATTCATTTAAAAAGTCTTGTAAAAATATCATATCTCCGTAGTCATAAGCTAAGGTCACAAACTCTTTTCAAAGTATTTATAAATCATTTGGATCTATATAGTCTTCATTCAAAAGCAATTAATCATTTGGGGGATTTCTCTCTCAAAACAAAATTCTTCATTTTTTCTTTAGTAATAAAGTCAGAAATGAAAGACTTTGGTCGTTTGTTTCGGGCTAGTTTTTTGAAACACAATCTAAAAGGAGTACTGAAGTATAAGCATAGGATTTTGATCTTGTGCAGACAGACGTACCAAACATTGTTGATATACGCTGAAAGACCCTATACCAATAACATCTCGTTATAATATATAAACTACTGTCTTATTGTTTTTCTCAAGGATTAATTAGAAGCATGGTATAGAAATATGTCTCAAAATAGATACAACAAAAACCAATCTCTCTGCGATTAGGAACGGTAAGTATATTGTGTCTCATATTTTAATTCTGCAAGAATGGTACTAACAGCTTTTTTTGCTAAGAAAAATATTTTTCTACTAAAAAAAAAAAAACATAATTTTGATAAAAACTAAGACTTTAGAAGAATCTATACTCTTTTATACTAATGTAAGAAGACTTAATTAAGCACAAATAAATCTGAAAATACTTTAATGAAGTATTTAGCTTTTTGTATTTTCACTTTTATAACTTCAAAATATTTTTTTTAAAATCCACAATGAGTAATATTTTATTAACGATGATCTCAAATTATTATTTATCTATAGAAAATAATAATTAATTGATAGGAGTCAAGAGTAGAATCAAAATCATTACCGTACTTCTACCATCTACGATACAAAGAAATGTATATTTGTTCTTTAACGAAATGAATAAAAGTATTAGTTAGCACATAAATAGACAGATTAATGATGGTGGACGTAAAATTCTTATAGGAAACTCAGATTTGCTACTATGAACAAATCTAAATGATAGAACTTTTATCCTGTAGATTGAACTTTATCATATTTGAATTCATTCAACTGCCTATGTACAGAATTATGTTGGCTCAAGATAGTTTCCAAATATTGTGTAGAGTCTTCAATAAATTACAAATTTCTTAAAAAAAAACTAAACTTCTTTTCATCCTTCCTTACCTAAGTTTCATGAGTTTGAAAACGGTGTATTTACAAAAAAAATCTGTTTCTTTTATATACTTACACAGACTGATTATTCGAATGTTGATATATACTATTCAATCGGATAGCTAGAGGTTTTTGATTTGTGAGCAATTTACCAAGTCAAACTATTCTGAAAAGTGGACAGCTATGAGCAATTGTCATTACTTTCAAAAAAGTCCTTGGGCAATAACTTTTTGAGCCATGGACAATTACTCAACGGTTCATGGTTGGATACACTATTAATACTACTACTACTACTACTAGAGGCATAAACTGTTTGCTGTCTAACTTATGAAAATTTCTTGATTACAACGACCTATTCATAGTGAATAACATGAAAAATGATTTCTCTAGATTAAATTTTTGTTTTTTTTATAGAAACTCATAAATAACACGATCGTCATGATAA